AGTGTGACCACGGGGGATGCTGCAACGGGTGTTAGGAAGAAAAGAAAAAAAAAAGGGGTCACTTTTCTCAGCCGCGTCGTAACTTCGAACGGCCGCTAAATGGAACAGTTGTAAGACGAGGGCTACCTGGAATCTGAACTTTTTTGAGTTTCAAAAGAGTTATTAGGAAAAGGAAAAGGCCAAGTTAGCCAGCTCAGAAAGTACCTCCGAATAGGATGAGGGGAAAAGAGACCAAGTAGTAATATTTGGAGGAAAACAAACTGTAAAAATTCACAATTCAAGGAGAGAGAGAGAGAGAGAGACTCCTTGGTGCCCTCTGAGCTTGCTTGTTTTCCTCCTCCTCCTCCTCCTCCTCCTCCTCCTCCCCCTTGCAAATCCTACTCCCTTTCTACCACGGATGTTACCTAGCTGCGTCATGAAATATTTGCAAGAAGAAAAAACCAAGATCAGAGTTCGAGGAACCGAGAGGAAACCGCTCCCCCCCCCACAACTACCTCCGCACTTCCATCATGCATGGATGATGTTACCGAGTTGGGTCACGAAACGCCTGCAAAAAAAATCACAAAACTCAGAGAGCGCCAAGGACCCCACAAACCTCCGCCTCCTCTTTCCTTCTTCCTCCCTTTTCCTTCCTTCTTCCTTTTCTCTTCTCCTCTTTCTCCTCAAACCCCACTCCCTTCTAACCCTGATGGTATTACCTAGTTGGGTAATTAAACGTCTGGGAAAAAAAAACAAACCCAACCAAGCTCAGAGAGTACCAAGGACCCCACAGTACTCCTCCTCTTTCCTTTTCCTTCCTTCTTCCCTTTCTCTTCTCCTCTTCCTCATCGACTCCTCAAACTCCATTCCTTCTTGCACTATTGATATTACCAAGTAATATCTACAAACTACCTCCGCACTTCCATCATGCATGGATGATGTTCCCTAGTTGGGTAATGAAACGTCTACAAGAAAACCACAAAACTCAGAGAGAACCAAGGACCCCACAAACCTCCTCCTCCTCTTTCCTTCTTTCTCCCTTCCTCCCTCCCTTCCTTCTCTTCTCCTCCTCAAACCCCACTCCTTCTAGCACTGATGATATTCCCTAGTTGGGTCGTGAAATGTCTACAAGAAAACCACAAAACTCAGAGAGAACCAAGGACCCCTCAATTTCAACCCTGTGCAAACAAATATTCCTCCTTTGTCGGTATACACACACACACACACACACACACAAATATATCCATAGATCGGCAACGTGGGATCCGTTGCCCCAAATGCTCACGGCATGCGCTGCTTACCACTCAAGCAAAAATTCAGCTTATCCGGAGGCTGCTGCGTTGCCTTGGCAGCCCAGAATTGGAAACGATTCCTGCAGCAAACGCCAAACACGAGCTTGCACAAACGACAACTTAAAAACCCCCCTTGTGTCCTTGCCGGACACAACAAAAAGGTGTCACCCACAAAACTTTCCTATCAAGGGTCCCGGAGGTGGGTGGGGTGGGGGAACCTTTTTTCACTCTTCTAACACACACACACACACAGAGTCCGTTGGGGGTAATTGAATTGCTCAAAAAGAAACGGCAAAGATCCATTTGTGCATTACACAAAATTGTGAGTCGGCCGTCGGCCATTTTTAAGCTGACATTTTAATCGGAAGAAAATCCCGATATTTTTTTACCAAAACCTGGTTTTGGAGGAAGACGAAAAATAGCGGAAAGCTTTTGAATCGGGGGCTAATCAGAATCGGAACAGAGGTGGGAGGGACCCTGGAGGTCTTCTAGTCCAGCCCTCTGCTCGAGGAGACCCTAAACCATACCAATCAATCAATCAATCAATCAGAATAGAGCTGGAAGGGACCTTGGAGGTCTTCTAGTCCAGCCCTCTGCTCGAGCAGGAGACAGACCTTAGACCATTTCAGACAGCTGGCTGTCCAGTCTCTTCTTGAAAACCTCCAGTGATGGAGAACCCACAACTTCTGGTGGCAAGCAGTTCCACTGGTTAATGATTCTCTCTTTCAGAAAATTCCTCCTTAATTCCTGGTTGCTTCTCTCCTTTGGTTAATTTCCATCCATTGTTTCTTGTCCTGACTTCAGGGGCTTTGGAAAATAAATGGACCCCCCCCCTCTTCTTTGGGGCAGCCCCTCAAATACTGGACGATGCTATCACGTCCCCCCGTGGTCCTTCTTTTCTCTACTCGCCAAACCCAAATCCTGCAACCGTTCTTCGTATCTTTTCATCTCCGGGCCTTTTAATCGTCTTGTTTGCTCTTCTCTGCACTTTTTCCAACCTCTTTTTTTTTTTGTAAAGTGGGGACCAAAACTGGACGCAGCATTTCAGGAGTGGCCTTACTAAGGCTTTACAAAGCCTAGGAATTCAGAGTTTATTTATTGCTAGCAGTATTCCCGAACCCAATTTCTCCCAAGAGGAAGAAATTGTGTCCCTTCATCCTCTTTTGGTCTTTATCTCCTTTCCTGAAAATGTCCACGGAAGGAAACCAAGTAATTAAACGTAATTAATATCAACAAACCACAATCACCGGCAAGCTTAGATTACACCGTTCCACCACATCCTTTTTGCAATGTGCCACGGAAGAGCCCCGAGGAGCTACACCAAGACGCAACTCTGGAGGAAGGGAGAGAGAGGTTTCAGGGACAGCCCCCTACTCACACCTAACCCACCCAAACCCAGTTGGAAGACAATGAGGCTTGTTACTGGACTGCAACACAACCGCAACTTCAGGATGGGATTTTCGTCGTGCACGTCGTCCCGGACTTGTGGACATTTCGTTTAGCGTCCGTTCCAAGTTGCAACTGGAAAAAACGCGACTTATCGGCGTTTTTTTCCACACTTAACGAGCGTCGCAGACGTTTCCCCGTGGGTCAAAATCCATACGCTTGGCCACCGACTCGTATTTACGACGGTGGCAGCGTCCCCCCGCGGTCCCCCTTTTTGTGACGAAGTCAACCTTAACCCCCCGAGCGACTTAAGTTAGCCAAGCTTGCAGGGAATCACTTCACAACGGTGGCAAGGGAAAGCTCTTGAAATCGATCCATCGGAATAAGAGTTGGAAGGGACCTCGGAGGTCATCTATCCCAACCCCCTGCTCAAGTAGGAAACCCTAGTCCTTTTCAGACCAATGGCTGCCCAGTCTCTTTTTAAAAACCTCCAGGGATTGAGCCACCCACAACTTCTGGTGGCAATTGTTGTCACGAGGAAAAACCTGCCGTGGCAAATCTTGGCTCACACCCCTGGGGTCTCTTCCATGCCAGCCGTCCGGAGGACTTCCCTCCTGCAACCATTACTCGATGGGCACTTGCCCCGAAGAGCAAATGGCATCTTTTAAAATAAACCAGCTTTGCAAAAAAAAAAGGAAGGGGGGGGGGGCAAACGAAATCCTTCGCAGGTGCCACGCCAAAAAAGGCTGGGGGCAGGACCCAGAGTGGCAACGGGGGGGGGCTCGGTTGCCCCCTTTGCCCGCCAGTTCTAAAGACCATCTGTTGAATATGACGCCTGCTCTGCCCTAGACTGGCACTGCCCTTAACCCACAGTGTGGTCATTTTTTAAGAAAGCGGGGGGGGGGGGGGGGGAGGGGGGGGGCCCGGGTTTTGGTGGGAGCGTTTTGGAAAGGGGGGGGGGGGGGGGGGGGGGAGTGGGGGAGTTAGAGGCTGGCACCAGCGTTTCTGGTGCCACACAAATGGCACAATCATTGTTGGCTCGGGCAACGCTCGGGGAAGGGCGGGGGAGAGGTCGAGACAGCTGGTCGTTCGGCTCTTGCAGCTCAATCTCCCGAAAGGATAACAGAATAACAGAGCTGGAAGGGACCTTAGAGGTCTTCTAGTCCAACCCCCTGCTCTGTCAGGAGACCCCCCCTAGGCCATTTCAATCCATCTGTCAATCAGGATAGAGCTGGAAGGGGCCTTAGAGGTCTTCTAGTCCAACCCGCTGCTCACGCAGGAGACCCCCCTAGGCCATTTCAATCCATCTGTCAATCAGGATAGAGCTGGAAGGGACCTTAGAGGTCTTCTAGTCCAACCCCCTGCTCACGCAGGAGACCCCCCTAGGCCATTTCAATCCATCTGTCAATCAGGATAGAGCTGGAAGGGGCCTTGGAGGTCTTCTAGTCCAACCCGCTGCTCGAGCAGGAGACCCTAACCTAGACCACTTCAGACAGGTGTCTGTCGGGTCTCTTCTTAAAAAGCCCCCAAATGACGAAGCACCCACAACTTCTAGTGGCCAGCTGTTCCACTGGTGAACCGTCCTTCCCTTTCAGAACGTTCCCTCTCCTTAATTCCAGGTTGCTTCTCTCTCTCTCTCTCTCTCCTGGGTCAGTTTTCCATCCATTGCTTCTCCTCCTGCCTTCAGGTGGGCTTTCGAGGACAGGTGAAGCCCCCCTGCTCCCTCTTCTCCTTTGTGGAGGTGGGGGAAACCCCTTAGACCTGCAAGCTGAGCCCCCCCACCCCACCCCACCCCCACCTCTTTGGAGACCAGGGGACAAAACCCTACACCTGGCACAATGCATTCTTCCTGGCAAGCCCAGGTGGAGGACAGGAGAGGACTACCTGGCCAGGAGGTGGTTGTTGTTGTTGTTGTTGGGGAGGGGGGGGGGAGAAAAGAGAGAGAGAGCCGCCTGAGCTGCAATGAGCTCACCTTCCTGCCCCCGGGCGGTCTCCTAGCAACCGGGCTCGCCCTACCTGCGCTGCAGGTGCACCGCGCGCCGTCGCCTCCCCGCCGCGCTTTGCAGGTACGATGACTAAGGCTTGCTTCCCTCCCCGCCACCAGGAGCCCAGGGGGGGGGAGGGGAAAGCGGGGCTGGGGGAGCCTCAGGGGATCGGAGATGGGGAAGGGGAGGGGGCTTCAACCTTGGCTCCCCCCCTCCCCTTCCCCTTGAGCCCCCGAGCCCCAATTCCCCCCTCCCCCCTCCCTCCACCTCACTGCATATGGATAAAAGACCCCCCCCACTTTTCTCCCCCCACCCCCCCCCCCCTTTTCCTCCTCTGCCTCCCTTCCCCTCTACTCACCCTAGAGGGCGCCCGCGAGCTCCGCTTGCAAAAGAGCCCCCCGCTCTCTCCTCCTCGGCGGCGGCGGCGGCGTCACTCTGAGCTCCAGCCCGGGCGAGAGGGCGCTTTTATAGCGGAGGGCGGGGCCGGCGGGAGGCGTGGCGAGAAAGGCACGCCCACTTCCCCTTCCTCCCCCCCCCCTCGGCGCCGCCCTCTTAAAGCGGCGATGCCTCTTTGGGTTGGTCCCCGCTTTGCGACCTTCGGTTTAAATCAAATCAAAATCAAATCAAATACCCTCCGCGGTTTATTAAACCCGCTGCGCCCCTGAATTTCTGTTTGGGGGAGCGGGAGGCCTTTTGGGAAGAAGCGAGGCTTTTTTTTTTTTTTGGTCGCTTTTTTGGGGGGTTGTTAAGTGAGACGCTGCGGTTCTTAAGTGAGGAATGAGGTTGTTAAGCGAATCTGGCTTTCCCCCCCCCCTCCCCCCCATGGACTTGACTTGTCTTCTAGGCCAACCCGCTGCTCAAGAAGGAGACCCTAAACCTAGACTATGTCAATCAATCAATCAATCAATCAATCAATCAGAATAGGGTTGGGAAGGGACCTCAGAGGTCTTCTAGTCCAGCCCTCTGCTCAAGCAGGAGATCCTAGACCATGTCAATCAATCAATCCATCCATCCATCCATCCATCCGTCAGGAGGAGCCGGATTCATTTAACAACCGGGTGGATAATTTATCGACCGCCGTGACTCACTTAACGACGGTGGCACGAAAAGTCATAAAACGGGGCAATATCCACAGTTGAGCTCCATCATGGTCATACATTGAGGGCTTCTTGTATTAAACTGTCTTATAAATTGGGAAACTTTACAACTTATTTGGGAATATTCAGACTATTCTATTAATGTTCTTTTTTTTATACTAATATCTTTTTTTTAAGTTTTTTATTTTATTATTATTTTTTTACTTATTTGGGAATATTCAGACTATTCTATTAATATTCTTTTTAAAAGTTTTTTATTTTATTATTTTTTTTACTTATTTGGGAATATTCAGACTATTCTACTAATATTCTTTTTTTAAGTTTTTTATTTTATTATTATTTTTTACTTATTTGGGAAAATTCAGACTATTCTATTAATATTCTTTTTTTAAGTTTTTATTTTATTATTATTGTTTTTACTTGTTGGGAATATTCAGACTATTCTATTAATATTCCTTTTTAAGTTTTTTATTTTATTATTTTTATTATTTTTTTACTTATTTGGGAAAATTCAGACTATTCTACTAATATTCTTTTTTTTAAGTTTTTTATTTTATTATTTTATTATTATTTTTTTACTTATTTGGGAATACAGACTATTCTATTAATATTCTTTTTTTTTAAGTTTTTATTTTATTATTTTATTATTATTTTTTACTTATTTGGGAATATTCAGACTATTCTATTAATAATTTTTTTAAACAGTTTTTTATTTTATTATTATTATTTTTACTTATTTGGGAATATTCAGACTATTCTATTAATATTCTTTTTTTTAAAAGTTTTTTATTTTTATTTTTTTTACAAACATATCAAATCAATGCACGAACAGGGTGTCGTACATTCTAATACGAATAAAACTAGTAACATTAATCATAGCTATTGCATTCAATCAACTTATATATTTCTAAGAACGATACACAATTATATTAAGTTGCAATCGGTCATGAGTCAATTATTCCATGTTTTCTCTTATTATTGCCTTTAATTTATTATATAAAAAGTGTATAGACTGCCATTCCCCCTTCTTTTATTTCTGTCACTTATTCTAACGATCAATGCTCTTTAAAAGAGAAGGGAAGGGGGGAAAAAATAAACCCCAGCTCTTGTTTTGCTCGATTGGAATTAATTTTGCAACCGAGTTAAGTGTATCGAATGATTCAAATCAATATGTTGACTCAGCAGATGGACTTGGCAAATCAACTCTCTGACTCACTCTTATATAAGTAACTTAAAAGGGGGTATTTTGATGAGGCAGCCCTGGCAAAAATTAAAATATTCTAATCACGAGGTGGAGACTCCTGTTTTTAATTTATTTTTATTGCTTTTTAATTAATGACAATAATAATAATAATAATAATAATAATAATAATAATAATAATAATAATCCACAAACATTGTCAGGAGGGAGAGGCACAGAAGTAATCCTTGACTTAACCAGCAGAATGGAGCCCAACATTTCTGCTGTTAAACGAGATGTTGGTTAAGGGAGTTTTGCCAAGTTTTATTTATTTATTTATTTTATTTTATTTTGATTTATATGCCGCCCTTCTCTGGAGACTCAGGGCGGCTTACAAGGCGTTAAGCAATAGCCTTCATACTTTTGTATATTTATACAAAGTCAGCTTAATGCCCCCACAATCCAGGTCCTCATTTTACCTACCTTAGAAAGGATGGAAGGCTGAGTCAACCTTGAGCCTTGGAGAGATTCGAACCTGCAGTAATTGCAGGCAGCTGGAAGCTAAATACTACCTTTGACAGTAGCATTAGTCTGCTGCGCCACTCAGGTTCACTTTCATTTTTCACTTTTATACAATCTTTCTTGCCACGGTTGTTAAGTGAATCACTGCAGGGGTTGCCACGGCTGTTAAGCGAATCTGGATTCCCGGTTGAGTTTGCATGTGATGGTTTAGTGTTTCCTGCCTGAACTGGTTTTCTCCCAACTCTCTCATTGAGCAAAGGGCTGGACGAGAAGACCTCCAAGATCCCTTCCAACTTCTGTTATATTGTAAGCCACTGAAACGTGGCTGGACCCAAAACAGCCGAGAAGACCCCAGGATTCAATGAGGACCACGGATGTTCAGAGAGCAGTCCGACCTTCCAGAAATCATGGCCTGATACGGGACATTTGATGATTCCCGAATAGAAACTCTGAAAAGGCTTCGTTTTAGGGCCCCTCCGTCCCTCCCCATTTAGCAGGCAGGCAGAAACCAAAATAATCAAATTATTTTTCCCCCCCTCCCCACGGGCTGCTGAATTCACAACATTTCCCCTATTTGGACCAAGATGGAAAGCATCAAACAGATTAAGAACTTTCCCGGCATTAAAATTAGCTGGGTAACCTAATCACTTTGTGCTTTTGCACGCATAGTTGGTAGAGACATGCCGACACTTTCCCTTAAAATTCGATTAGGCGCTGAATTACACAGAGGAGGGCAAGAAAGCCAGTCTAGCCGAAGAAATAACTCCTCGCTTTCCATTCCAGGCACAGTTCCCCAAACTGGGAACGGATTTGGGCTGCTTAATTCAGCACAAAAGCGAAGGATGAATAGATAACATCAATCACGGACTCTGAATTGAGAGGCAGGCAAAAACTGCGCGTAACCAGCACGCTCAAAAATCACGGTGAAGGGTTAGCACCACTTTGTAAAGCCTTAGTAAGGCCACATCTGGAATACGGCATCCAGGTTTGGTCCCCACGTTACAAAAAAAAAAGAGGTTGAGATTTTGGAAAAAGTGCAAAGAAGAGCAAACAAGATGATTAAAAGGCCTGGAGACTAAAATAGATGAAGAACGGTTGCAGGAATTGGGTATGGCCAGCCTAGAGAAAAGAAGGAGTAGTGGGGACATGATACAGGCTTCCAGTATTTGAGGGGCTGCCCCAAAGAAGAGGAGGGGTCAACTTATTTTTCCAAAGCGCCAGAAAGCAGGACAAGAAACAACGGATGGAAACTCATCAAGGAGAGAAGCAACCTGGAATTAAGGAGAAGCTTCCTAACCGTCAGAATAATTAACCAGTGGAACTGCTTGCCACCAGAAATTGTGGGTGCCCCATCACTGGAGGTTTTTAAAGAAAAGACCGGATAGCTATTTGTCTGAAATAGTATAACAGAGTTGGAAAGGGACTTTGGAGGTCTTCTAATCCAACCCTCTGCTCAGGCAGGAAACCCTACACCACGTCAGACAAATGGCTGTCCAATCTCTTCTTTAAAACCTCCAGTTGTTGAAGCAACCCACAACTTCTGGTGGCAAGCCGTTCCACAGATTAATTGTTGTCACAGTTAGGAAATTCCTCCTTCGTTCCAGGTTGCTTCTCTCCTTGATTCGTTTCCATCCGTTGCTTCTCATCCTGGCTTCGGGTGCTTTGGAGAACAGGGGGACCCCGTCTTCTTTGGGGGCAGCCCCCTCCGATCTGCCAGCCGAGCTTTCCTTGGCACACCCGTGGGAGAAGCTGGCAGCTGGCAGGAAGTTTCCATCCGTTGCTTCTCGTCCTGCCCTATTTGCCCAAAATCAGGAACCTCCATCTTGCTTTCAGCTTCGCCGAGCTGAGAAAGATTTTTTTGGGGGGGGGGAATCTTCCTCGGCTCTTCCTCTCTCCCGTTGCCCAGAAAACGTTCCAACCGCCTGCCAAAATCTTTGCCGTTTTGGCTGCCACACAGTGGGGCTTTTCACACACAAAACACAAGTTTCGATTCGCTGTCCGCCTTTCACAATGTCTCCCACTTGGCTTGCTCTTTTGAATGGGTCTAAAAGCCGTTGAAGGTTTCCTTGGTGAGCGCCCCGGTGCACACTGATGGAGACTAAGAACACAAGCCACCATCGTCGCCGTTCCTTTAGCGCCATCTCAGTTTAGCCCGGCTTGAAATGGTCGCTGGGCCTCCCTTGTGCCCGGCGTAGGTCCAGAAACTTGTAGGATTTCACAACATCGACAGATGTGGGAGCTTCATCCCTTGGAAAGGGTGTCAGGAAAGTGATGGTGGACCTTTTCGGCACCGAGTGCCCAAACCGGAACACGCATGCATGTGTGCGCATATGCGCACGCCCGAGTGCCGGAAACCAGAAGAGCAGCTGGCCAGCACGCATATGACTGTTTTTTGGCTGTTTCTCAGCCCATTTTTGGGCCGTTTTCAGGCTGTATTTTGGGCTTTTTTGTGCTGCTTTTCGGACCAAAAACGATCCAAAAAAGGCCATGAAAACAGCCCCCCAAAACAGCCTGAAAACGGCTGAAAAATGGCCCAAAAACGGTATTCCCTTAAACCAAGCCGGTTTATGTTTTTTGGCCATTTTCAGGCCGTTTTCAGGCTGTTTTCCGGCACTCTGGTGCCCACGAAG